TGTTGTGGTCTCCCTGTTGGAATACCCTTCAAATGCTGTTTAATTCTGAATTGATTCTTTGCTTGTAAAATGTGAACCTAATGATCAACTCCCTGTAATTTCATTGCTGCATGGTTGTTAATAGAAACAGTAAATTATACTTAACTAAAACATATTCAAATCCCCAGGAGAATGAAAGCTGATACCATCCATGTAAAGGTGTTCAAAGGTGTTCAATGACATTCAAGTGTTTTCTCTATTGTCTGTCCACATAAGAACTCTCCCTATTGAGGATTTTGAAAAGGCTGCATAGAAAGATATTATGGGAAAGTGATATTAATTTGTTTGTAATAGGACAGAGCCTACAATATAAATTCCTTGAAACATTTTGTCATGTCTGCATATAGCAGGAAAGAGTCTAAGACTGAAAGGGCCACCTCTGATGGTATGGGTCTTCCAGTCACCAATTCACAGGGGATATGTGAGCCCCACGGAGTGAGTCATATGGTCATGAAGTATGGTGGAAGTCCTTTTAGGCAAGAAAGATCAAGTGCTTATACTTGATCCTGTTTGTCATTGATTCTTTCAATTTTCTCAAATACTGTAGGTAATAAGAGTAGTGTATCTGATGAGTATATGATGATGCATTATGGATTTATTTTATAATTGTTCTTCTAATGGATACTCCTTTAAAGACTTTGGCATCAAAGAACGTATGTCCCAAGATGGGAACAAAATCAACCAACTTCTCAGCAACTGTAATTGTGTATTTTTTCAGCACCAAAATGTTAAGACATATTCTGAAAATAGATTGATGGCAACTAGAGCATATTCAAATTCCATGGAGACTGGAAAGTGAATAAAAGTCCAACTGAAGATGTTCAAAGGGGCCTAAAAATGCTGGTTCCTGACTGTGTGTCGGCTTTACAGTTGATAGATGACAGGTGGCAGGCAGTCTTTCTGGTTTCTTCACCAATGCTAATTTAAGACAGTGACCAATTTGTACCATGATGAGAAGTTTTATGAAGAAATTTATCTACTATCCTTTTAACATCTTATGGTGCCATCATGAGGCTACCTTGGGAGGCCAGAGATTACTAGAGTTAAGGGTAAAACCATAGTTTCAACTCTTCCCTTACAACATCAGAGAGCAAACTGTTACAATGTTTCAATCCATTGTGTGAATCCTTCTAGAGCTTTATCTTTTGAGGGTTTTGATCTCCAGTTTTAGTTTTGTGATATAATACAATAACAAATAATTAGGTCAGGATACTGAATAGAGTCTTAGACATTGAGCAAGGTGCTGACAGTTGCCTAACTCAGTCAAACAGTTCTGAAGTCCTCTTTGGCATAATGATCTCCTAGGTATTTTTTTTCATTTACCTTCCATATCTCTTTTTGCATGGACCTAAATATTTTTGGATATCAATTTCTCTAGGTAGTAAGACTTCTTTAACTACTTTTTTTGGGGGGGGAGGTTGAGTGCCAGCTAATTAGGAACTTCCTTACTTCCTTGTTTCCAAAGCATCCCCAAGTCTTGACCTACTCCAAAAGCAAATATGCCATATTCTGGACTTAAGTCATTTGAAAAACTCACAATAAGTTCTGCCCTGTGAGCTTATTATATTTCATGCAGGGGACTGTATTCTAAAGGAGGATTTAAACGAATGACAACTAATCCCGTTGGATGACCTCCAGTTTTAGTTTTGTGATATAACACAACAACAAATAATATTAGGTCAGGATACTGAATAGCGTCTAAGACATTGAGCAAGGAGCTGACAGTTCCCTAACCCAGTCAGACAGTTCTCAAGTCCTCCTTATTTGACAGGGACAGGAGATGGTCAGGATTCAGGATGCTGCAGGAATTGGCCATCTGGCTGAGAACTTTGAAATCAAGTGTGGGGCCTAGAACTAACTCGGCAGAATGGTGACAAGTGCAGGAGGTCATCTAAAGCAATGTTAAACCTTCACAAGTTCAAGAAGATGAGGAGATGTTAAGAACTTCACAAGTTCACAAGTTCAAGTGAGTGATGGGCTTTCGAAGCTTCTCATGCATCATAAAAGGGCAAAGAGGCTTGTCTGGATCATGCACAAATGAGCTTTCCGTAGTTAAGGAGGCTTAAGGAAGGATGCCTTCCAAGTGTCCTCTTTGGGTTCTATAGGCTTATTCTCGTTTTAGATCCTAAACAGTATGCTATTTAGGGATTTTTCAAATTCATAAAGAGATGCTACAGTTTCAGGAAAATTGATATCTATTGTTTACCTGTTCCAATTTAACCCAGAAATCTCGTAAATTATTGGGTTTTAAGATGTTTAGGATAAGTTTGTCAGTCTTTATTCTGTCTGAAAAGGATACTTCTTTTTCCTTAGATGGATCAGAGCCTGTATTTACAATATTTTGGTAAAATTGTGATTGATCTCTTAATACTCTTCTTCTGATAATTTTCAACCAAAGCTTGTTGATGAATAGAGAAGTCTTCTGGAATCTTAAGTAATCCTTGGACTTCTGGTGAGCATATAATATCATGATTTCATTTGCAGAATAAGTTTCTCCCTATTAAATTTGCAGGGATATTATTAGCATGAAGGAAAGTATTTCATCAAAGGGAAAGGCTCAAATGTTAGAGTTAAGGGCTGGAAGATACAAAATATGTGTGATTTATTTGAAATACCTTCTGCCTATGTGGAATATTTACTCTAAGGGAGAGACAGGGTTTAGTGCAGACAGAGTAGCACCTAATCTGCCAGGAATTGATGAGGTTGATCTACCATATTCTATTTTATTCACAATTGCTCGTGTTTGGCAGAGAAGTGGGAAACTTTGACAGGAAAACCAAGAAACAAACAAATAAAGGGAAGGCTTCAGATGGGCTTGAACTTAGTGTCAGGAAGCAGTAGAGAAAATTAGCAAGCTGACTGTCATCGAGCAAATCCCAATCTTTCCGGACCTGCTGCTGTAGAGGTTGTTGCTTGGCTTGCTAAGCTGGTGGCTAAGGGTCCTGAGTCAGAGTTCTGTTGTTACTTATGGTCTGGCTCATGTCCATTTTCATATTCAGTCTCTCCATCATGAATACCAGTCATATCATCAGCAAGGAATCATGGCCCTCGTCTTCTTGCAAAGAAAGAAGCCAACACTGGGACAGAAACATCTGGAGCACAGACGGGTTCCCTTAATTGCTCTACAGCACCCACATAAAATCCTTGGCCTACATTTTGAAATGATTAAATTCTATAACCATGTTTGAAAGCCTGCTTTTCAAAATCTCTCAAAAGTCGATACTATTTGACCTTGCCATATCCTTGTTCAGCCCAAGGGTAATTATTAAATTTCCTTCCAAGAGTCTCCCGCTAAAGGCAAAGTGTTTGGGGCCCACCTCATCTTTCCTTCTACACGTTTCCCTGAGAAGTCCGTTACCTCATAGTCTCACATCTCTGTGCGATTTTGAGTTCCTCTTTGTGTTCAGGAAATGCAAACATACTTCTTAAAATTTGGAAGCATGTCCTTCTAACTTTCACAACGTGTGTCCCATCTGAAGCTGCCATATTGTCCACGTTAGCCTTGTTTGGTCATATTTCCCGTTCTTTACCCTTTTGACATCTGTCTCTTGGTTTTCAAAACTTGAGGCCAATGCTCCTACCCTCTCCCCAATACCACATCAGTAATCAGTGTCTGAGTGAAGCCAAACATGGGTGGAAAATACATCTCCTGCCTATGTCTTCCTCTTCAGGTGCACTGACACTTCTCCTATTTCGGGTTCCCATTAAGCTCACCTAGGATAACTCTCCCCCACGTGCCAGCCAGGTGCATTCTGATTCAACATAACCATTGCTGTCAGCTTCATTTTCCTCCAGGCCAGACCTGACCATTTCACTTTCCTGCTGAAAAGCTTCACTTATTCTTTTTATTATGCAAAGTCAAAACCAAACTTCCTTGCCACATGGCACACTGTGTTCTTCATTTTATTCTGGTACTCTACTCCCTTTTCCTGTTCTGAACTGTAAGAACTCTTAGAGTGACTCTCTCTTGGTACTTTGTATGCTGAACTCCACATCAAAGGAGTCTATGTACATCTTTTTTATTAAGTAAAAGTATTTGAGCATTTCCATGTTTGTGTCTAACTCATTATTTTCTTTATAGCACTTCCAATAATCAGTGGAGTTTCCTATAAAATCAAATAATTGATTCATCAAATCATGATAAATGTACCAATCATGGCAGAGTGCAAACTTTGATAAATGTTGTAGCAAAAATCAAATACTTAAAATACTATAGTGTTTGATTTATATAGTGAAAGTATTGAATGTACTTTGGATTTGACATAAATCTTTAAAAACTTGTAGAATTTTCTACACAATAATAATAAAAACAACAGGCTAAGGAGAAGAAATAATTTTGGGAACATATTTGGTGTGCAGTGAGACTGAGAATCCTTTTATTTCATTAGACAACAAGGAATCTTGTATATAGGGAACATTAATACTTATTTATACCTTTTCTTTCCCTTTCTTCTAAAACATTGAAATAGGAAGAGAGGTACAGGAAGAATCAAGAATTATAAAGAATAAGCTATAAATTAAATGCATGATAATTCAAACATGTAAGTTTAAATATTTTGCACTAACTGTGATTAAAAAATTGTTACCGACTTTTAAAAATGTACCTTTAAACCTGTGGCTGGGGAAAGAGAATAAAGAAGGATCTGAAAAATGTATTTCCTCTTCATTTGAGTTCAAGAAGAGAGTGACAGTTTATTTATTATAGACAGTATTATAAGAAATAACTTTAAAGTTATTACTTTACAGTCTCCTTGATGGGAATCCATGTTTTATGCAAGTGTGACCTCCTTATCATATTTCTTTAATTTAGCAGGAAGAAAGTGTTCCAAAGGATGCTTTGTAAAACTAAACCTAGATTAACCAGAATATTCCTTTGTAAAACAAATGGAAAAGCTTGATATGACTATGAAGACAAGAGGATGATTAGCCTTCCTGCTAAGGTTGATTTATCTTCTTTGCTAGAACAGGACTCTGTCTTTTGAACCCTGCAGGCTCCAGGGATTGAAGAAAAGTCAGTTGGATCAATATCTGGAGAGGAAGCTCTTGGGTAAAACAAAATGCACATCTGTGATATCCAGAATTGTTTTTCCATCTTGGGAATTTTAGCCAAGTGGGATCACATTCCAGGCAACGGGGAAATGTCTATGACACTCATGAACCCAGCCCACATTCATCAAGGCTGTGCCATTTATGCTATGAGAAGGGGGTCCCTTAACAGAGCCCAAAGAATCAGTTCTAAGCCATAGGACTTCAGACTCCTGAGATTGATTCTCACCTTGTCCCAAGAAACATCAAGTAGTAAAGCTTATCAGGGATCAGGACAATCTTGTAGCCTTTGTCAACCGAAGGATGTCATATTATTTAATATCATACACCTATTAGAGGGAGAATTGTAGGTATGCTTCCTTCCTAAGATTAATGTCTCAATACTTTTTCATAATAGCTTGAAAAAGAGAGGTGTAAGGTCTTAGAGATGCCTCCTCACTCTGACCTGCATCAGAAAATGCATTGACATAAATTTAACTTCTCCAGGTATATTTGAGATTCCCCCAGAAAGGATAAAATTCATACAAAATACTTCGTTTACTAGATGTTCCCTGGCTATTCCAGCCAGGAGTGATTTAAGGGACAATAACCATCCAGCATGGTTTGCCCCACTTACAGGATGTTAATCACATCTCACCTTGAAATCATTACCTGTCTGACTTTCTCCTCACTAAATCTCTTGGCAGGTAGAGTTCTGCTCTTCACTTTGAGGCTCAGACTGCACCAGTAGCCAGTTGTGTTCTGCATGTGGCAGGCACTTTATGTTTTCTATGCACCAATCACCAAAAGTGAGTTCTTGTGGTTTCTGTTGCAACTCCTCCAATGCCATTTATATTGATATAGTCAGCATATGTTTGCTTCCGTATTCTTTGGTGTGCGTCTCCAGAAGGGTTTTATTCATGTCCTCATTTACTTGCATACTCTGATGCAATCTGTCCTGACTGCTGTCTCTGTTTCATGGGGGACCATTGCTGAGCTTTCTTTTCTTTCCATTGAGATGACCATTTCCTGAAGGCTGATGTGGTAGGAGCTTGTGTGCTTAAGGAGGTCCACAACCAAGAGCAAATCAGAGGGGAAAATAGTTAATGGACCCAAAATTGCAGATGATTGCAAAAATAGATTTTCACACTTTCATGAGATAACAGGGAGTTGTTTTTTTTTTTTTTTTTAAATTGCTGTAAATGTGCCTCATCCCTTTGGGAACTGGGTTCAGATGATATATGGCAGCATTACACGTGGGAGTCTAAATGTGTTTTTTTTTTTTTTACTAACTGCTGATTATAATTTTTAAGATCATCATAATCTCCTGTCTTAATACACCATTATATGAATACTCTGGTAATGCCATGAAACAATCCCATTAACTACACTAATATTATTCCAGTATTCATGAGAAAGGTCATTATATCTGTTGCTCCTAAAATTTTATTTAAAAAAAAATTACATAGTCTCGCATGTAAAAAAAAATCATCAATCAAATTATATTAAGAAGACAGAATAAATATTTATTTTAATGGATTTTCTATTATTACATAAAACCTTAACAAAACAATGGAACCATTCATTGAAAGCAAATTTGGCAATTTAGTTTGTAGCAGAGTGGCGATGTTGAACAAAAATAATCTTATAGACAGTGACATTATCTTATAGGTAGCTTATAGTTAATTATATTTATTTTCCAGATGCCTAAGTTGTAATTCTTACTCGAGTCCTTATTGTTGATATTTTCTCTGTTTTGTTTTCCATTTCTGTCATTAGCTAATCTATGTTTTCATCTCAAGCACATTTGTGAATTACTCTGAAGAAAAACAAACAAAAAAGTAAATAGCATGGATTAAATGATTATGACTGTTTTTAATACTTATCAACCTGTGCAAAAACAACAAGTATTTCATTTGGAATGTACATTACATCATCAAACAGTAAAATAAACATTGTACCTGGAATTTATTTTATTCTTGTCTTTGTCAGCAGCTATCTGGCTACAAATTCAAGTATTTTTTATCTCTATGCCCAAGTTTTCTTGTCAATAAAATAATGGTTTTAAATTAATTTGAGGGCAACATTCATATTCATGAAGCTGTAAGTATGGTGTTTAAATATGAATGTGTATATGGGTTTGAATAAAAACTCAAAACTGAGAGCAAATAACAAAGTTATGTCATGAGCTGAAAGAATATTTCTTAGGAAACTTCAATTTGCTTTTGAAATAAATAAATAAAAATATTTTTAAACTAACATCAGAGGAAAATTTTCTCTTTGAAGGCAATATTGCTGTTTAAGGTACATATTTAAATTATCACAAAGTCTATAATTCATATCATTTCTGAAAAATCTCTCAGGTATTTCACATGGGCTCTGGGTTCCCTTCCCTGGTATTATCTCCTCTTAACAGAGATAATAGGATTTAATTGTTTTTTTCTCAAGTATCCTTAGAGGTGAAATTCTAAAACTGTTCATATGTTTTTATAAAGGAAAATATCAGAACTTAGGTCACACATAGAAAACTGAGCAATCCCAATCAATGATTTGTGTGAATGGCATTAGTTTTATGAAGCATGCAAGTATAAATAACACAAAATTTATATATAAGACATTACTTGCTTACAAGGAAGCCAGAATGAGCTTAATTTTGGTGATTTCACTCTTGCAATTTAATTAGGTAGCTATCATTTACTCATGTTCCTTTCTTAGTAAGGGCACATGTACCCTGGACGCCAAATTCCATTGACAGAAATAAGGGCAGAAATGTCAGAAACTCGTAAGTTTAGTTCTATTAGGTATTTAGATCAAATTCTCTCACATTAAACTCCATGAGAGTGTTCTTTGTTTTTATTATTTTTTTGATAGCTTTATTTCTATTGCTACTGATCAAAAGAAAAAAAAATACACAAATCTCGAACCCCTGCTCACAATAGAAAACAACACTTAGCCAACTTCATTCATGTCTTTCTGCAAAACAAGAATGAAGGAAAACAATGAAATTCTACAGTTTTGCTTTCAAGGATAATATATTTCTCCAATTCTTTGACACGTCACTTTAAAGCACCTTGTGAGAAGAATATTTCTATGGTTTGGATTTGAATGAAATTACTGAGAAAATTAACTGTGTATTTAAAATGATGGAAGATTTTACATAGAAATCTTTTTCACAAAATTGGCTTAAAACATGTGCTTCCAAAGAGGAAAGAAAATGTCTCATTAGAGTATCCTTAGAGAAAACCTTGGGTTTAGGCTGGTATTTCATAGAGGAGAAAAGATCAATTAACTTGTAATCACAGGAGCAGCATAAACTTTGGAAAACTATAAGTAGGCACCGCTTTGTGTTTCAAGACATCAATTCCTGTTTTTAGTATAATGAAGGAAATCTTGATTTCCACAGATGCCCACCAATCACTTTGAGCTTTCTCACCCAAAACAGGCAGCCCAGAAATAAATTTGAAGTGCAGGTTCAGGAGTGTGGATTCCAGGAATGTGTTCACTCTTCGGGGAGCGCATTGCTTAGTCCCAGGTAGCTAAACCAGGAAAAATTTAATAATTTTAGAATGTTTTATAGTATTCGGTTTAGTCATTTTCTACTATTAAGGTAAACAGATTGTTAAAAGAATCATTTTCTGTAATATTATCAAAATATGACATGACATTTTCCCCTTTTAAAAAATACAAATTACCTACAACTTATCCAAAGAGCTTGTATTTCTTTTTAAAGTTTCTCAATTTCCATCTATCCTCATCCATTAGAAATATATATATATACATACACACACACAAATATTTCTATATTGGTTTCTAGGCTCCTGTTATAATAAAATATATTCCTTATTAAAGTAATAATGACTATCCTTGGGTCTATTATATCATTTTATTTTGACCAAGAGAATACCATATCTCCTATTTTTAAAAATTTTCCACATAATGCAGCTGCTTTATTATTTTACTTTTGCTATGTTTAGAATCCCGGGTTGATTTAAATATAACTCTGCACAGCCTTGACATGATTAATGAAAGATCCATAATATTGTAAATAAATTAAGACAACCCACCATTTCTGAGTGAGCAAAACTCGGACAGATAGTTTTCCTTGAGAATCATAAATAGGGTGTAAGATCCCACTGCCTTTCACTGTGCCTTCCCTCTACTGCAGTTGCTGTGATTGATCTTCTAGGAACCCACAAGTGCCACTCTGAATGAGCTCACTTCCATGTTTCCACACCATGGGCAACTCCACTGAGTTGTGCTAAGTTTAGGGAAGGGGCACTGTTGATGTCTGGGGTACAATAAATTCTAAAATTCATCATTCACGAAAAATCTCAGAATGTTTCCTCTCTCATGTTTTAAAAGGCCATACATAACAAATAATATTGAACCCATTGTTGGTATCCTACTATCTTCATCAAAAGAATATTGCTTATTTGTTTTTCTTTTTTCATGAAAATTGAAATTATCTCTTTAAAAATCAAGTCTGGGAATTTTCAAGCAAATAAAGTATAATTTAGCCAGAACTATTTTTAAAGTATCAGGATTTTATTTACTCTTGGCCCTCAATACTATTTTAGTTTTTCTGGGAAGGAAAAGTAAATTCTTTAAGAAGTTTTATATTTCACTACTTCCAAAATGATATTTGCATGATTAGGAAGACTGAACCTAACAAAGAATTTAGTATTGCCGTTAGATTTTTTGGCAGTAAAATTTGGAGCATTTGAAACGAATGAGCTGCTGCACAAACTGGCATTAATATATTATTTAAGGTGGAATCACATTAAGATATTACCAGGAGATGAAAAAGGATTATTGAAAAGTAATTTATGTAAATATGTCAATCACCCCAAATCTTTCTCGAATATTCACAATTTCAAACATTTTTGAAAGAGCTGGTTTTTGAGAGACCTCTTTCTTCAAAAACTTTAGATATGATAATGATAAAGAATGACTTTTGTCTCTTCTAGAAATATGAATCAACTCTAGCCATATATGGCTATTCTTTTTGAAGAGGTTGAAAACTGGTTTGAAATAATTTGAAAACAGCCTGCCTTACCACGCATTAAATTTTCATGATCCTGTTGTGCAAAGAGCTGCATTAGTTTTCATGTGTGCAAATAAATGCATGTGCATACAAATTTGTTCTCTAGTTTAAATCGTATTTTAGTTTAACATTCTTAATTTTGTATTCAGTTCAATTTCAAGAATGTAATCCTATAAATTTTCCATTTCCAATGAAAGACTTTCTGGATTTTTATTAATACATTTAAGTTGTATCATTAAAAACTGGAGGCGCCTCTAAAATCACATACTTATTACTGTTGTTTCCTTTATGCATCATTTGTTTCCATTGTTTTTGTTTGTTTGTTTGCTTGTTTTCATGGTTTGTGATTAGCTGGGTATCCATTTATGTTTAACAAATTGAAGTTAGCAATAGTGGCAGAGGTAGTTTTCTCAGGAGAGAGTCTCTAGGTAAAGGTGCACACATCTCGGCAGATCCTGTGGGCTAAGGAGTCTCCTGGGATTTTTATCTTCCCTTTCTTACTTTCAAAGCATTGTGAGCTGAGCTCACTGCAAACTTGGGATCGATTTTGAACTAGCTAGTTAAATTCTGCAATGTTTATTTAAGTCATAATTGATTTTTGACCTCAGAATATCACAGTTCTGTATTCAGGTACATGAGTTCATCATGCCAGAAAATACATTTCCACAAAGAAGCACACCTCAATTTCAGTAAAATGTAAGTAAACAAATATTTACATGAATAATTTAAAAAATGCTAGGACTATTCTGATGTGTTTTTATTTATATATTTACATATTTATTTATTCATTTTTTTTTAAAGAAAAATGCATTCAGCAGAGATGGGAATCTATATACTTCCAACAGGAAGTTCTCCAAAAATAATTGTTGAACTAGAGTGACACTACCAATCCAAAGTATTGTCCCCTTTAAAGTGACCGCCTTTGAACACCTTACTTCTCACTTTACATGTCTTGTGGGAAAATCATCTGTCCAGTGGGTACAGTCTGGGAAGCCCCACAGAGTAGCAGCCAAGCTGACCCCAGGGTATACCTCTGGTCAAAGAACTTCACCATGATGGGGAAGCCCTTGGTTTTGGAGCTTTGTAAAAAATAAAAAGAAATTAAAATAAAGAAAGAAGGACAGGATTGTGGCCACTCCATGATATGCAGGAGACAAAAAAGCAAGAGAGGTTTCAGTCTGATTTGGGAATATTCAGGAATCCGATCCTGCAGGACAACTGAAAGAAAGGCTGGTGGGGTCACCTGTCAGCAGAAAACATTTTGCAGAACCTCTGTGTAGCTTTTAAAGTCTTTTAGTCTCATTCTCTATGAACTAAATAACGTGGTGGTTCATGTTAAAATACAGGGAGATGAAGCATGCATTACACAACATATCATGTGACATGCTACCGTTGGGTTGGAGCACTATTATTTTCAATATGAGAACATCCCTGACAGTCAGCAGACAACTTAAAATGCTTTGATATTATCACCAATAACATCTTTAAACTAGCTCCAGGTGTGCAATGGAATTATAAAAGAAAAATTGTCAAATTCCAGTAACACACAATGTTAACATAAAATTTGATGTTATATTCATCTGGATTTTATTCTAGACTGTATAATTTCTTCCTTAGAAATTTTACATAATATTTATAAGATTTATATGAAGGTGATTTCTTTTACAGATGCTATCAAAATGAGACTTTTTTATCGAATAAATTTTCTAGTTGTTAAGGTTGTTTTATCAAAGGCTACTTAGTTTTGCACTAGTAACCAGCAATGTTGATGAAAGTCCTCATTAGCTCAGTTTGTCTCTAGCACTCTCAAATGGACACATTTTATCAATGGTAGTTTTGCTTATTCTTTCCCATCTCACATATTTTATTTCACCTTTATTTTATTGTATAGGATAGTCTTTATTGTCTTTTTATATTGATATT